AAAAATATAAGAAAATAGAATGTTCTATTTTATTTTTAAAAAATGTCATGAAATGTTACTATATCCTGTTTTTGTAGTTGAAATGAGACATTAGAAATATCCAGTTGTCCTTCAATGAGCTTAATAACACAAATTATTCTAAATTTCATTTGTGTTTTAAGTTCTACTAAGGTACTAAAATAAAAGTACACTAATAAAATAAAAATACTTTGAATGTCTTATGTTTCAAAAGTATCATTAGCATATGACACAATACTTTTAATTATAGGATGTTTGGATCAACTAACAAAGTCTGTGTTATATTTTAAGCTCAACAATCCAGAGTAGGAGAATTAATGTCACATTTTATTTTTCTCTTCTCTAGCATTTGGAAACAGACAAGTCACAATATCTGCTATCAATTTCCTGGTATGTACTATATGATGTTTATTTATTATGTTCTAATTTTGATATTAAGAATACATAATATTGAGGATTTTTTTATGTAGAAAATACAATCTACTTCAGGTCATATATATACATACATATATATATGACCTAAAGTAGATTTTATATATAAAATGGGGTAACATGAGATAAATGGATGGTAGTACATGATTTTAATCCCAGCACTCAGCAGGTTGATCTCTCTGAGATCCAAGTTATCCTAGTCTACTTTGCAAATTCAAGGTCACCTGGGGCTACAGGAAGAACTGTCCCAAAAAAACCAAAAAGCAAAAGTCAACCAATCAGTCATTCAAACAACCAGTCAATGCATCAAATAATTTATAAATCTTTCAATCAATACAAAATTATTAGAATGATTTAAAATATAGTAATCAGTTAAAACATGATAAACGATTCTTCTCTCTCTACACATTCACAGACTTTTAGAGAAAACATTTTTATGTCTAACATTTAAATGTCCAAAATTATTATATTTAATTGCTCATTTATTGATTCAGTATCAAGAGATACTTGTCTTTGTCAGATTAATTTATTTAGAAATGCTGATATTCAGGGCTGTTTCTAAATTTTTCTCTACATGTGTGCTCTGCCATCCCATGTGAGCAAATACATGAAATAAACATAATGACTGAATGAAGTTCAAATTAATCTGAGTGAACAAGATTTTTATTTTAATAAATTATTCCAGTAGACATCTCAGTACTCATATATCTGTTATTAATTTTCCTGCCACAGCATGTTCTGCTGTTAGCGTTTGTCTTTCAGTTTCTAGAATTTCTTAAGTCATTGTAAGTATGTAACATTCGAATTATCCAGATGTGTTCATTGCTCAAGCAAAATAATTATGCATTTCATTTATTGTAATGTCTTTATTGCTAATATTCTTCATTTGTCATTCAGAAAAGTTTAGTGAAGGAATTGTTTCATGAATAAAAATAACAACCACATTTAGCTCTTTTTTAAATGTATTTTTTTATGTGTTTTTATTTTTCTCTAGTTTCAGTCCTCCTCTGTTTACAGCTAGTTCCTTATCACTTATGTCTATGTTATTGACATGTTCTTTGTTTATACACTACTGTAGATTTATTGCATTTTCCCCTGTAAGCTGTCACTATGTATGTACTTTCCCCACAAACAAATAAGCATAGCATTTGCATAAAAGAAAATTTTAATGAGAATTAAAACTTCTCTTAAAAATTTATGATACTTTTAAAATATATTTATACATGTATTTTGCAGAGTCCAAATAGACATAATTAGACAAGAGCAAAATTCTAATAACTTGGTTTGTGTTTCTTCATTATTGAACTGTTCATTCTTCCTGTTCTCATATATGTTCACCAATGGTACCTTTTAAAAATATTATATTTATTATTTTTATGAGTATGAGTGCATTGACAGCATATATGTAGTGGGCCCATGTAAACAAGTAACATATACTTCAATAATAAGAAGCAGATAGAACTACCTGATTAAAAAGGTGTTTGACCTGGTTATCAATAATAGTGAAAAATATCTTTTGAATTTCTATGTAATTCTAACCAGTCATTTGGGGATTTAATGCATGCCTACAAATAGCTTCTCCAATTATTATAAATTTCCCTCCAGTTAATTGCAAAGGTATGATATTTTTGTAGATTTGTGAAACTGGAAATCATTTCATCAATACAATATTGGCACACCCAAGTCACACAGGTTAGTTTCCTTTTCTTTACATCTTCCTTAGAGTGGAATTTGCTAATAATATACTTTTGAAAACACATTTTATAATGATATTATTTAAACTAATTTAACACATGTTGGAACAACACCATAATTTCATCACTTTATATACATTTCAAAAATACTTGAATGGTTTAGAAAATTGTTTCCTACACCTGGATCTTGTAGGCTTTTCCCAATATTTTCTTCTAACAGTTTCAGAGTTTCAGGCTTTACATTGATGTCTTTGTTCCATTTGGAATTGACTTTTGTGCAGGGTGAAAGACAGGGGTTTAAATTCATTCTTCTACAGGTGCAGATTTAGTTTTGCCAGCACCATTTGCTGAACATGCTGTCTTTCCTCCATTGAATATTCTTGGGTCCTTTGTCAAATATCAAGTGGCTGAAATTGCATTTACTCATATTTGCATCTTCAATTTTGTTCCATTTATCTATGGGTCTATTTTATGCCAGTACTATGTTGTTTTTATGACTCTAGCTCTGTAATACAGCTTAAAATGTGGCATAGTAATCCCCCCGACGTTCCTCTTAGTGCTCAGATTTGCTTTGCTATCCAAGACTTTTGTGCTTCCATATAAAACTTGGGATGCATTTTTCCATTTCTGTGAAAAATATCATAGGGATTTTGATTGGTTTTGCACTGAATCTATAAATGACTTATGGTAGGATGGTCATTTTCACAATATTAATTCTTCCAATCCATAAGTATGGAAAGTCCTTCAATCTTCTGATGTCTTCCTTAATCTTTCTTTAAAAAATTAAAATTTTCATTTTAGAGCTCTTTAATGTCTTTGGTCAGGTTTATTCCAAAATACTTTATTTTATTGCAGCTATTGTGAAAGGGAGTGTTTCCATGTACTCTTTCTCTGATTGCTTATTATTGGTTTATAGAAAGGCTACAGACTTTGTAGGTTAATTTTGTAACTGCCACTTTTGGTGTCTCTTAGATATAATATTATATCACCTGCAAAAAGGGATAATTTTATCTCTTCTTTTCCAATTATTACTCCTTTAATTGCCTGCTCTTGTTTTATTGCTTTTGCAAGAGGACTATCTTAAAGAGAAGTGGAGATCGTGGACAGCCTTGTCTGGATCCTGATTTCAAAGGGAATGCTTCCAGTTTTTCCCCATTTAGAATGATGTTGGCTGTAGTTTGTTATATATGGACTTATTTATGTTGAGGTATGTTCCCTGCAGTCCAATTCTCTCTAGGACTTTGGACATAAATGCATGTTGAATTTTGTTAAAGGCCTTCTCTGCATCTATTGAGATGATCGTGTGATTCTTGTCTTTGAGCCCATTTATAAGATTTATGACATTTATTGACTAACAAATATTGAACCATCCCTGTATCTCTGTATCTCTTAGATAAAGCTGAGTTGGTCGTGGTGGATGATGTTTTTGTTGTGTGTCTGTATGTGATTTGCAAGTATCTTGTTGAGAATTTTTGTATCTATATTCATTAAGGATATGGATCTATAGTTTTCTTTTTTGGTTGTATCTTTACCTGGCTTTGATATTAGAGTGATGATGGTTTATAGAAGGAATTTGTTGGAAGTTTTCCCTCCATTTCTATTTTTTTGAATAAATTAAGTAGTATTGGATGTAGATCTTCTTTAAATGTCTGATAGAATTCTGCTGTAAATCCATCTGGTCCTGGGCTTTTTTTAGTCGGGCGGTTTTGTATTACTGTTTCGATTTCTTTTTGTGATATGGGTCTGTTTAAGCTGTTAATCTCTTCTTGGTTTACTTTTGGTGGTTCCCATGCCTTTAGATATCTGTCTATTTCTTTTAGGTTTTCAAATTTAGTAACATATAGTTTTTGTTAAGTATTCCCTCATAATGTTCTGTATCTTTCTGGTGTCTGTTGTGATGTTTTCTCTTTCATTTCTGATTTTGTTGAATCAGAGGTGCTCTTTCTTTCTTTTGGTTAACTGGGTTAGAGGTCTGTCAAACTTTATCTTTTCAAAGAACCAGCTCTTAGATTTGTTGATTCTTTGCATTGTTTTCTTTTTTTCACTTTCATTAATTTCTGCACTGATTTTTGTCATCTCTTCTTGTCTGCTGGGTTTGGGTTTCATTTGTTGTTGCTTTTCAAGTGTCTTGAGTTGCAATGTTAATTCATAAACTTATGTTCTTTTTAATTTTTTGATGTAGGCACTTAGAGCTATAAACTTCCCTCTAAGGACAGCTTTCAGCCTGTCCCAGAGGTTTTGTTGTGTTGTATTGTCCTTTTCATTTAGTTCCAGGAATACTTTTATTTTTTTCTTAATTTCTCCATTGACTCATTCATCAATTAGGAGTGTATTGTTTAATCTCCATTTGTTCATGTGGTGATTAGGGCTTCTTCCAGTGTTGATTGTAAGCTTTATTGCTTTGTGGTCTGATAGAATGTATGGAATTATTTCAATCTTTTTGTATTTTTTGAAATTTGTTTTGTGCCCCAGTATATGGTTGATTTTGGAGAAGGTTCCATGGGGTGCTGAGTAGAAAGTGTGTCCTTTGGTGCTTGGGTGGAATACTCAGTAGATGTCTGTTAAGTCCATTTAATATATGGTATTTTCTTAGTACCATTTGTTTGGTGTATTTTTTTTTCCATCCTTTCACTTTAAGATAGTATCTGTCCTTGAAAGTGAGATGCAACACCTTGGGTATAGTCCTTCCTTTCTTCATGACATTAAGATGTTTGCACATGCATTTCTAATCTCTGTACATCTGATTATTACTAGTCACAATCGGTTACTTTTGAACTCCTTGGCATCTAAGCATGGATATAAAGTCGTCAGGGAGATTTCAGTGGTAATGTTTTTCACATCTACTAATTATCAAGGAGAAAATTTTTATGTTTTAAAGAATTATTATATTTTAATCATTATTTTTTAATGTTTAATAACTACATGATTAGAAGAAACATTTCACTACAGCTTTAACATATTCAGTAACACACTCCAGAGCAAGAGCACATCTCTTTCACAAGTGGTACACATTTCTAGGTTCACAGTTGAATTAATACAGTTATACAATATTGAACTCAGTATAAGCCCTGTAAGACATAAAATTGAATGAGTTTTTAACATTTTTAAAAGATCTCCATTTCATTTTTGGATATATTTTTCCTTTCAGAAAGACTCATTTTCTTTTGCTATTAACACTGGTATGTTGGCACATGAATCTCTAATCTGTATGTATCTGATTATTACTAGTCATAATCAGTTGCACTTGGATCCTTGGCACCTGTGTATGTCTATAAAGTCATTGGGTAGATCTCAATGGTAATGTTTATCACCTCTACTAATTAACATGACATAAATTTTCATGCATGAAACTGTGTATTTTAATAATGAAATGGAGCTATTTTTTAAGGGTTAAAACCTCATTTAATTTTATGTCTTATAGGGTTTATACTGAGTACAGTATTATATAACTGTAATAAATCAACTGTAAGCCTAAAAATTTATAGCCAATTTTGAAAGAGATGCATCTATTTTTGGAAGTTGTTATTGAATATGTCAATGCTGTTGTGATGAAACGCTTCTTCTAAGTATGTGGTTATTAAATAAATAATTTTTAAAAATACTTGAATGAAATCACATTTGCCAATAATTTCTCTTTTAAATTTTTCTTCGTTTTTGGAGATTTTTATAAAGGGTTTACATATATAGATGGAAATAAAATCACTACCTCAAGTCTCCCCATATCCTTCAACACATGCCCCTCCCAAAATCATGACTTTTTTTTTTAAATCCACAAAGTCCAGTTAGTTTTGCTCATATGTATTTTCTGTGGGGCCAACCACTACAGCATGGGAAACTTACTAGAGGTCAAATTCTCAATAAAGTTTTAATCTCCCTCTTCCATCAATTATTCATGGACAATAGTTCCTAAGTAGTAGGTGGGGCCTGGAGATCATCTGCCATGTATACTTGGATTTTCGCTGGCTTCATCTTGTGTAAGGTGTTGTGCATGTAACCACAGGCAAAGAAATTCATGTTGTGACAAACATCTCAGTTCCAGAAGACAGCACATAACATTCCTTCTCATTCTCTATCTCTTACAACCTTTCTACCTCCTCTCCCGCAATGCACTCTGGCTTTGGTGTTAATGGGATTAATATACATGTCACACTTAGGGCTGAGAATACAGTTTCTTTTTCTCAGTACACTGAGTATTTATGCATATCTCCATTCACTAATGTCTATTGTGAAAATAAGCATCACTAATGAAAGTTAAGAGCAGCCTAGATTTATGGGTATACATATAAATATTTAGAAGCCAGCTTGACATGCACATGTAGCAAAATAACAATAAAAGATTCTGCCCTAGGGTCTTTGACTTCTTTACCATGGCTTTTTGACCATGGTTACTGTATGAAATACCCTTCTGTTGTGCACTCAGGAAACTTAATCAGAAAATAGTCAGTTACTTCTAACATTCATGCTACTATTGCTCCATTGAGCACATCTTGCATGACTGGTCAGTAGTGTACCATGCAGGGTTCAAGTGCTGGGTAATATCATTGATATTTTTTTTATCCTTCAGAAGCCCGAATAGCATCTTCTGGAATTACAAAATTTAGAAATCAGGAAGTAAGTTTTCTGGTTTGTGTGAGATTGATTTTTCTATGTCCTGCAACCAAAGTATTTGGTGTCCAACAATAGAGTCTTGATATGGGTACACAAGACAAAGCATAGCCTGTGCTATTTTGGAGAATTTTGGAACTGCCTATCCAGCAATCCATAGGAAGATATTCTATATGTTTCTTACCTATAACCATATCCATAACACACATCAAGGAATAATTTTACTAAAAGAAAAAAATGGAAGCTTCTTTAATATACCTACATGCACTATAAGAAGAATATAAAATATAGTTTTCCTACAACAGGATTCAGTGGCCTTAATAGATACCAACAGATAGCAAATTAAATTCCAATGCCAAAGTGGATGCCTACTTTTGAAGTTGTTGATGAGAG